TGTAACTTTCCTTAACTCATTCGAACGAGTTGGTGAACCAGAACGATTGGACCATGGGAACGGGGGCTTATGAGGTAAAAAATAGGTTTTCTCATTTTTGTTCCTTAGAACTTATAATTTGAACTATTGGTGAGTCAGTGGCTACAGACTTCAGGCCCAAGGCAGTGACGTTGTGGCTTCTGCCACTACTTTTTATCAGTACAGTTCACCCTTGTATTATAACGGCCCCCCCCTTGCTTTGCTGGATACGTTCCACTCACGGGCCTTTGTGTCCCATGTTGACGGGGAAATGAAAGATAAAAGAGGTCGCCAACCTCTTTCTTTGGTCACTATAAAACACTATGTGAGGATGTTATTTAAGTTATTTTGGCTTTCCAAATTTTATTTTAGTGTTGTAAAAAAGAATCTTTTTTTTATTGTCCGTTTACTTTTTGATAGTAAATAATAGGTAGTGTCTATATACAGTGTATTAATAATGATAGTGCACTGTTTTTTTTTTTTTTGTGTTTTTACGCCAGTGGCAATTTTTGCGTTTTGAAAGGGAACGGTCCAAACTCTGGTCTTGTTACTATCTAACGTCGACTTTTTGTAAGATAGCATCATTAATTCATAGCCTAATTACAAATGTAAAATAACTGTACTGTATTTTTATAGATTGTTTCCTGATTATTCAGTTTGAAAATATTAGTGGTTGAAAAGAAAGAATTTATGTGAAAATTGAATTACAAAGGTAAAAACTAATTCAAACATTAATAGTTACAGTCGGGACCGCGTAAGTTTGCAGTTGAGGGAGGAGCCTATTTACCTTATGGTTTTGAATGAACCAATGAGAACCCTGCGGTGTTGCCAAATCTAATAATACCAGCTGATTTGAAAATATTTTTTAGTATTTTAATTAGTGTTGTCAACAGGCGATGTGGCAACGTAGCACTAGCCTTGTCTTGCGATTGGCTGCCACCAACTGCAAACTTACGTGGTCCCGACTTTAGGTATGTATTAGTATTATAAACTAGTTTATGTTATTGCTGACACTTTTAAGGTAATAAATTACATACAAACATTTCTATTATTGATACATTGTTACAGACAATGAGCTTAAAAATATTAAGCAAGCAATTGTCTCATACTTGCCGGAACACATGCTCCAGAATTCAAGCAATGCAACAATAAATGAGATGGCCACACAAATTGGGGACTGCTACTTTGGACAAAATACTTCAATATATGCAGCACTAAATGGATTCGTAGAGGTGAATATTCAGTCCAAGAAACTAAATTTACATGAAACATTTTTTTACCAATAATGTAAAGTTTTAGTATCTAATTAAATCTATTATCAGAATTCATTTTCCTACCGCTGGATATTGATTTATATGTCTTCATTACACAAGGTGATTTTTAATAGCACGACAATCTCTCAGGATATGATTCTATAACTAAAATAAGAAAAAAGTTCATAGAGATATACGTAGGTCTGGAAACACTTCATCGTTATGTTATCTGAAAATTTGGCTCAGAATTTCGTAAGTTAATTTTGGTCAAATGAAGGCTTATGGAATTGTTAATACAGTACGCACATTGACAGCTTAGATTCAGTTTAAGACTCTTTCTTGTAACCATTCCTTCATTTATTTGCAACCCATAAGCCTGTTTTAATAAATTAGAAATATTTTTCAGTTTGCTACGGACAGAACGTTCGCCTTTAGCATCCTCAAATCTGCCGAGGCACTGAGTGAAAAAGCACCTGTTTATCTGTACTACTTTACATTTGAAGGAGACTTTCAGGCAACTCATTCGTACAAATCTATCAAGTTGTCAGGTAATGTATAAGCCTGTATAAGCCTGGTAATGTATAGTTATTAGTGTCTATAATCTTTTTACTTTCTCCCCCTATAGTACTAGTACATTTATAATTTTAACTCTTATGTACACCTACTACATGTCTTGCTTAAAATGATTTTGAATAAATAGGAGAGATCTTTACTTGTGATGACTGATGGTGTCAATACTGATTATACTGAACCAAAGAATGTAGAATATTAACATATATATAAATATACATATAATAAATACATAAATAAATATACATATATATAATACAGTACAGATCATAATTCGTAAAATCATAATTTGTAAAATGTTAATAACATGGAGATATCTTTACTCCTGATGACTGATGTCAATACTGATTATAGTAACGAATGTCGAATACATATAGTCCAGATCATAACTCATAAATTGCATTTTCATGTACATGGGTCTTATCTTGTACTGTCTGTACACTCTAAGGTCTTCACTAGGTTGGATAAAACATCTATGGTAGGAAAAGTAACCACATTTTATCTTGGCCACCAAAAGGCTCTCATAACAAATGTTTGAGTCTCTGTTAATCAAAATATCTTCCTTTATAAGGGTAGAATGATAGGGGGGACGGTGGCGTCGTCCTGTAAACCAGCTACTAGGAGGTCACGAATTGTGGATATTTATTGGCATGCGCTGTGGATGCTATACTCCATGGTGTGAATTAATGTCCGCACTAATGGGTGCTACTACTATCCGCAATAATATCCTGATAATTAGACCAATTCGTTAATACCAAGGCAAAAATGTGGTTCTGTTTCCGATATAAACTTTAGGTCCCTTAGTTGCCATTAGCTGTTGTATGGGCTATTAATTAACAGCTGTGTCAAAGGAATATGTCGGCCTTAGTCACTAACAAGCCTACAAGATCGCACCACTCATCCTTCACTCATATTTGCGTTAAAATACGCACATAGTGGCGTCCCCATCTTAATCAATTAATTGATTGATTGATAGTTAACTCCAATAAAGCCAATATAGTTTCATTTCTTACTATATTTTTTTTTTATTTCAGGTGTTGGTCACGGGGATGAACTAGGATATATATTCTACAGAAATTACACTATAGCAAACCACAACAATTTCTCCTCCTACCCAAGATCGATGGAGATGATGGAAAAAGTAGTAAACTTATGGACCAATTTTGCCATTCATGGGTGAGTGATAAATTTTATGCATTTTATAGATTCATGCATAGTTTAGATCTTGATGTAGAAGTACTTTATCTATGCGATTATTGTAAGTTCACCTAAAAAACATAAAAGTGAAAGGACTTACAAACGCATTCATCACTAATTCTCCAGCTTTCCGACAAGGCAGAAGGCTGACATTTGGTATACTCATTATTCAGGCTACAAAATAAGAAAGTAAAACATTAAGTTTTCATAATGATTTTAACAAAGGGTTGTGCTGTAGAAGGCCTTAATTAATGTTCCTGTGTTATTCTTATGGAAATCTAATCTTTGCCATTTGTTTATATAATAATTATAGGCCTATAGTTAACAATAGCAGTTAACTAATTTTATTTATAGGAATCCAACTCCTTTGCAAGAAGATTCAAGTGACACAAAATGGGATCCAGTCACACCATCTATTAACAATCATCTAATCATTGACGAAAAGCTGGAAATGGTTCACGTCTCTTTACTTAAAGAAAGAGAAACCTTGTGGGAAAATCTTTACTTACTTCTTTTCAACCAAGAGTCACCCCAAAGGAAAAAAGGAGGCCATTTCTTTGTCACCACAATTGTCGGTTTGATTTTACTGTTCAGTGTTATCCTTGCTATTACATATTACATTCAATACTGGCGAGAGAGAAACTTATACTTTGATTTTTGAAATTTTGAAATTATATTTGTAAGAGCTTTGTCAGAGAAATGGAAAATTAAGCAAAATATTTTAAAACAATGTGTTTGGTCATGGTTAAATATAAAAAATATGAATTTCCAATGGAAATATCAGACTTACCTAGCCAACAAGAACATGTTTTTTTTCTTTCACAACATTTGTGCAAGTAAAAAGTTATCAAAATGGCTAGATGACAATTTCACGCTAAATTATGTTAAAAATACCTTTAATTTATATACCTATTCAGCTTCTTGATTACTTTCCCTTCTTACAAAATTAAAAAAAAATCAACGAGTAATAACTATTTTGGTAAAATTTGGAACTGTTACAATTTGTGTATTATTTATATGTAAATAAAAATATACCATACCACACTTAGTTTTCATTCCTCATGAAATAATACTACTAATGTGATTTTTAGTGTTGAAATAATGTTTGAAAAATGAATAAGAGCTTCATTATCCACTAAAAGTGAAGTCTCACACTATTTTAAATATACAGTATTTGTTTACTGATCATACCATCATATCAAAATCCAAGGAATTTATTTCTTGGTTGTCCTTATCAAATATTTGTATTACAAAAAGAAGAAGATCACTGACGCTAGTATATGCTAGAAGCCAGCAAAAGATTTTCTCAATTTTAATCTCGACTAAACTAGTAAATATCCCTTCATTTAGTTGTTGCATGTAAATATGAATGGATTAGAGGAGATAAATGTAGACTATTTTACTACAAATAAATTTATTTACATGTCATTTATAATCCTACTTTTGATTAATCTATGTTTTTATAACAATTCTCATTACAATAAATCATAATCATTCACTCAAACAGTTGTACCATTTAGAGCGAACAAATTTTTTTTATATAAATTAATTGTTATGGGCATATTTTTTTGTTTTATAATGAAGAATGCTCAACTAATTTCTTCATGGAAATTCGTCAGTATTAAAGTTTAACTGGTGTAGTTCACTTCAATGATATTGTATGGTAGATATATATATGGTACAATTAGGTTTAAAAGAATACTGTCGAGGATTTGGTCATTTGAGCCGGATATTAGTCGGACCAAAGTTGTAGGTATTAATCAAAATAACAACCTCTCGAAGATTATTCAATCATATGTTTAGGAAGTGTTTTGACAAACAAAAATATCCAAAATAGCATATTAAATTTTACAATTGGTTTTCTACTGTAATAATACTAAACATTTACTTGAATTGTAATATGGTATAAGTAACTAAAAAAATAATTTAAAGAAGCTTAGTTGTTAAAATAGAAAATGTTGCTTAAAAAAAACGTTTTGATTCATCTCTCTTCACAGAATGTGCAGCAGATCTAGCTTCTGCAAGAACTTTACGTTTTGGCAGCATTCTCTCAGCACTTCCCTCCACCGATCCTGATCCTGAAATGTGGTTTTCAAAGTTCCCATGGATTGAGCCATGAATCGCAGGAAAGTTGGAAACACTCCCTTCAAAACTCACTTCTCCGTTGTGTTCAGCATTACCTTGGAACCCACCGCTAATACCTTGGCTAACGAATCCCTTTAGAGAATTCCCCACTCCACTGATCACTCCAACTATTCTACTCGGGATACTCAACAGTCCTTGGAAATTCCCTTGCTTTCCCAAATGTCCAGATATGTCTCCAGTTAAATCCACCTGTTGAATGTCACCCGACAGAGAAACAGGGTGATTATCAACATAACCTGCAAATGTAGCACCAGTAGTAGGGTCAATGTAATAGCTTTGGAATGCTCCACTCCCTTGGTGTCCCATTGCCTGGCCTGTCTCCAGGGGATTATTGATGAAATAAGAACCATCTTCAGTATGTACTACTGTGTACTTTGTCTGTTGGCCATTTTTGTCAACACTAAGAGTTGAAGGACCCATATTGAAAGGGACCATTCCAGGAACGATAACGTATCTCTGAGTATACTGCGGGTTCACGTATTGAGAGAATTGGAGGGATCCTTGACTTTGTTTGTAGAGGGAAGCTCCAGCCCCTGATTGAAGTTGAGCTTGGGTATGAATTGTGCTTCCCGAATTTCCACTAAGAGAGGCTTCATTGTGAGTGTTACTCCCTGATCCAGCCATAAAACCTGCTGACCCATAGCCTTCTTGGTGTTTCATTGTGTGTGAATCTATGTTAGTCGAACTACTACCGCTTAATTGGTCTTGGCCATGAGAGGAAAGTATGCCTGATGAAGTAACAGGCTGTTTTACGACTTGTAAGTTTCCTCCAGATTGTTGTCCATTGTGGACGTAAGTACCTTCAACATTCGAACTTCCCCCTTGTGTTGGTTTCAAAGTGTAAGATTGTTCAAGGTTATTCATTCCGCTAGATTGACCTTGGTTAATTATTCCTACAGTACCTTCTAAATTTTGGGCTCCTTGATTATTCTGAGACAAAGATGATCCTGAGCCAAACTGTGCTGATCCAGATTGCTGGCTGGAGGAGAATGTGCCATGTGATCCAAACGCTTGTCCGTTACTTGTTCCTGATGAATGTACAGAATTAGGATTATTGTTATTCAAACCGATGTTACCGTTATTGCCATACACACCAGATCCTGATGTATCAGCTCCAGCGTATTGAGAGTTACCTGATTGGGGTCCTGAGAGTTGGGAGGATTCACCTCCATTGTTAGCAATATGAATTTCATTTGTGTTTGAAGATCCCAGGTTTCCCTGGTGCATTGAAGGATAATTTTCTTGCGTACCAAGCTGTGTATTGCTACTAACCAATAATGCCGTAGAATGTTGACTGGATGGTTTATACGCTTGGTTATTGCTAACAGAACTACCTCCATATGCTCCATTGTTCACATTGAGATTGTAATTTCCAGAATTATCTTTGTTTTGATCTAGATTACTTCCAAGTAACACCTGTGTTGATGAAGTACTACTTGTGCTTTGGGAAGGTTGGATATTAGATCCTGTTGAGGTTGAATCTGTAGTGGATCCAGCTACTTGATGATTTGAGTTAGTTGTATCAATAGACTGTGAAACACTACTTTGTGAATTCAAATTATCCACTCCACTATTTCCTATTTCAGAAGATGAGGAAATATCCTCAGCGCTTGAACTTGAAGCTCCAGCCAAGTTTGAGGATGAAAACTCGGTTTCAATTGCTGCACCATTTTCTGAGTTAGAATTACCATTAATTCCTAAACTGTCGGAGTGATTTTCACCACCTGTGCCGTTTAGAGATCCCTCATAATGATTAGTACCTCCAGAGTTTGAAGAGCTGGAGACTGAACTCCCTTGGCTGAAACTGGATGACTGGGGATTATGTGACATGGATGATGTTGTTAGCGTCAACCCATTATTGTGATTTGGGGATTGTATACTTCCCACAGAAGTTCCTTGATATCCAGAGCTCTCGCCTGAACTGGATAGTTGGCCATTAATTCCTGAACCACCTCCATTACCAAAGTTGCTTGTAGTTCCTTGATATCCAGAGCTCCCATCTGAACTGGCATATTGCGCACCAGCTCCTGAATTTCCTTTGTTACCAGTATTGCTAGATTCAGTTCCTTGATATTGAGAGTTTGGGCTGGTGTGACCTGCCTGAGCTCCTGCATACTGTCCACTAACTCCTGATCCTCCTGTGGTACCAAAATTGCTTGAAGCAGTTCCTTGATATTCAGAGCTTGGGCTAGTTTGACCAACCTGGGTTCCATGTGATTGTGAGCCCTGCAAGTGTGAAGTGCTCCCACCCGGACTGGTAAATTGTCCGCTAATTCCTGAACCCCCTCCATCACCTAAATTGCTTGAAGCAGTTCCTTGATATTGAGAGTTTGTGCTAGTGTGACCTGCCTGAACTCCTTGTGATTGAGAATTCTGTAATTGTGAAGTGTCCCCACTTGAACTGGCATATTGTCCGCCACCTCCTAATCCTCCTGTAGCACCAATGTGGTAGATTCCGCTGTCAATGCCAGCAGAGTTTTGTTCTTGCTGATTTCCTGCAATAGAGGAGCTTGAACTGAATGATCCCCCAGCATGTGATACTTTGTTGCCTGATAAGTTTCCACTGGCAACAAACGAACCACTGCCACCAGAAACTCCTGTTCCTGATCCTGTTTCAGCACTTTGTCCATCTGAATCGGATTCAACGTACTCATCAGCAAACATAGAATTCTGAATGCCGCTGTTTTGTTTCTTGTTATCTTGAGAGTCAATAACACCTAAATTTCCTTCAAAGATTACCCCAGGCTGGTTAACAGGCTTCCTCTGGGGCCAAGCAGGTTGTGTGTTTGTTGAATGTCCATGTGAGGCAACCAAGAAAGTCCCACCGTAGTTGTTTGTTGAAGAGTGTGATCCCCCTCCTGCTGTACTGACACTTGATGCTGCTGTATTGGAAACTTCAGATTTATTTTGTGAGCTTAATCCATACAGTGTGTTCCCAGAGGCTCCTGCGTTTGATGAAATAATATTTTGATTTGTAACACTGGACAAGTGATTACTACTTCCTTGCGTTTGTGAGGCTGAACTTGTTGCAAAGCTTGAGTCAGAATTCGATCCTGTGAAGTAGCCGCCGACGATACTTGATGTCTGCCCAACACCAGCTCCGCCTTGAATTGGTGATGTTCCACTATTTTGGAATTGGCTTCCTGCCAAGCCTGCATTTGTTCCTGTTTGATATCCACCATACTGTTGGCCACTACTTCCTTGACTTTGTTGAGTACCGATACTTGAACCTGCACTGCTATATTGACTCCCACTGTTTCCTAGATTCTGCATATTCGAACTTGAAGCTTGAGCAAGGGAATTTGAATTCCCTGTCTGACCATGAACTCCGTTCACAACAAAATACTGCCCCCCTCCCTGTGTCTGAGTTGTTCCTGAACCGTGTGATCCGACAGAGTTGCCTGACGATCCTGAATAGTATTCATTTCCCATAGTGGAAAACTGTCCATTTTGTACACCAGAGGAGTGCAGTCCACTCTGTGTAGAATGTGATACACCTCCTGCAGTGCTCCCGGAAGCACTTCCAAAACTAGATCCTTGACCCAAATTTGAACTTGAACTTTGAACTCCATTTAAGTTGTTTCCTCCATAACCCCCGCTTGTGGCAAGGTACTGTCCACCACCCCCTAGCACCTGAGCAGTTGTTCCTGAACCGTAAGAATTGACTGAGCCTGATGATCCAGAGTAGTATCCACTTCCCACACTATTGACCTGTCCAAGGTTTGTCCCAGAGTACAACCCACTATGTGTACTTTGCGATTGTCCACTGGAACCTTGACTTTGAGAAGATCCTGTGGAAATACCTGAAGCAGAACCACTACCAATACTGACAACTTGGCCATTTGATCCTTGTGCATGTGTAGCTGCAACAGTATTAGAATTAGAACTAGTTGGAATGCCATTGCTTGTTCCAATATTTTGTCCCCCAAAACTACCATATCCTTGCCCTGAAATTCCATGAGAGTTGGCACCGGAACCAGAGAAGCTTCCAGTTGAACCTGTATTTCCTGTGTGTTGTGTGTTTGCACCGCTGCTTAGCTGGTGCCCCTGAGTTTGGAAAGAGTTACCTAAATGACTGGTCAATGTCCCTTGTTGGTTGGCACCACCATTTATAAAAGAACCTTGAATCTGACTTGTCTGGCCAAGTTGATTGTAGCCATTTGTAATTTGGATTTGACCACCTTGGTTGCCATTTAAGTTTTGAGTACCACTGACACCAGTTGCTGTACCTTGATGGGTTTGGTAAAAAGAGTTGCCAGAATTCACAGCTCCTGTACCACCATATCCTCCAGGCTGGCTCCAGTGAACTTGATACACGACACCTTGAGGACGTTGATGTCCGTAGAATACTCCTCCACCATTATTAAATGCTGATGATTGTCCTTGAGAAGTTATCCCTCCTTGATGTAAATGATTTGTAACATGTCCAGCACCAACTCCACCTCCGTCCTGGTAGTTTGAGCCACCAGGTGAGCCTATATGTACTACTTGATGGCCTGCTTGCCCTGAGCTAGTCCCACTTCCATACTGATGCACCCCGCCAACTCCAGGGCCTATACCATGAATGTTATGGATAAGACCCAAACCTCCTTGAGGGCCTGCTTGCCCTGAGCTAGTCCCACTTCCATACTGATGAACCCCGCCAACTCCAGGGCCTATACCATGAATGTTATGTATAAGACCCAAACCTCCTTGATGGCCTGTTTGTCCAGAGTTAGTTCCGACCCCGTATTGATTAACAGCCCCGCCATCTTCTGGGTTAACACCATTATTATTATGGATCAGACCCAAACCTTGGCCAAAAATACCTCCTGAACTTTGCCCATTCCCATTCAATATTCCACCGCCTAGTCCAGGTCGGTTATAAATAAATGACAACAAACCTTGGCCCTGAGTAGGTCTGAGAGTCGATTGTGGCCCAACGTTCATCAAGTTGTTCGATACACTTGGTTGATTTGTGTTGCTGTTTATCAGCCCAAGATGTGGCCTATTATTTCCGAGACCAAAATGACCCATGGTACCTCCTGCTCCACCACCAACAGCACTCCCCTGAAACAATCCTAAGCCACCAAGATGACCTCCAATTTGACCGAGTCCTGAAACACCTCCAGATCCTGCATTCAAAGAATTAAATCCTTCATGACTCAAGTGGTGGTGACCAAGAGTTCCTCCACCTCCAAAAATTTGACTCCCAATAATTCCATGATGATGAAGATGATGAGAATGGTGTAAGTTTCCTCCTATTCCACTCCCTGGAACACTGTGAGGCTTGTGCTTGTGGCCGAAAACTCCTGATCCTGTAACTTGAGAGCTTGCTAATCCACTTCCAAAGGTTCCTTGATTCAAAATTGCTGGAGACCCAGCTAATGCACTTACAGTTCCTCCATTTAATTGAGATTGATTAATGTTTCCATTAGCACCGCCTTTTATACCAATCCCATGTTTGTGAGCTAGATTACTAAATCTTTGTGTCAACAGATTACTTTTTGATTGATCTAAAAACTGATTATTGCTAAAGCCACTACCTCCATGGATTATGCCGGATCCACCGTTGGAAGATCCTCCTGTGCCGTGGAGTTGCCCTATGCTTCCACTTGCGACTCCCCTGATTGGTTGTCCTGGACCGTTTCCCAAGCGACTCAAGGTCCTGGCTTCTGACAGGATGTGGAGGTCCTTTCCTTCAGCATCACAAGGCCTCACTTTAGAGTGTACTGTGACTATGACGCTCAGCAAAATGAAAATGATGAGCTGAAACAAGTACAAATTATTTAAAAACATGTCGATTAGTGTGGCTGCAAGCTGATAAAGCAATCCCAAATTGTACATCCTAGAAAGATGTAACCATTTAGTAAATATAGTAGATTAGATTATTTTGTTTAATACGCTGAAATACCAAAGTGCATATTTTAAAGCAAATATGAGTGAACAACGAGTGTTGAATGAATAAAATGACAGCTTTGTTACTGGCTAAGATTACTTGGTTCAACAACAGAGAATTTGATTAGATATTATTAGATATAAGATTAGATTAGCTATATGCTTTACAAAGCCCTTTGGTGGAAATAATTCACCAAGACTCATATCTGGTCCTTAAACCTTCAATAAACCATATAAATAAATGTATATTGAATAATGATCTTTAAAACTTTCACTGAAAGGAGAAATAGATATAATGCAAAGTTTAATTATGTTACTTAATTTCAATTAAACATTGAATGCCAAAAAACATGCTTTAATTTGAGATACAAGCATTAGTGGAACCTTGATAAGAAGACCCTCGATAACAAGTCGCCCTTGATAATAAGTGTTATTTTCAAATCTCCTTAAAATTATTTTACCCCTAATCACATGTTATTACAAACCTCTATAAGAAGTCAACCTTGATAACAAGTCTTATTTTACAATCCCCATGAGTCTTCTTATCAAGGTTCTACTGTATTTTACAAATATTTCAAATACCATATTCAAAAATAGTTTCCACAGAACAAAGTTGACCATAACTAAGTTGAACATAACGTAAGACTGAGGCAGTGAGGCAGAGAAATCTTGTCTGATTTTCACTATACTGATTATGAAAGTAGATTTATTATAAAATATCAGTTACGGTTTGTGAATTGAACTTTTTGTAAATATCCATAAAACTTAGGGAACCATTAAACGGGGCTTGGCTTTCCATGGAGTTAGCAGAAACTATGATGGGGCAGGTTAATGAATAGAGTTTAACAGTTTTATATCCCATTGAAATTGAACAATTATACAACAATTTCTGTTTCTATAGAAACAAATTACTATATTTATTCAATCGACTCAAATTTTAGATCAGTTAACACATACAATAGTGCATGGACTAGGACTGGACAGAATAAAATGAATTGCTCTGTTCTATAAGGTTCAATCTGTAGAAGTCCTGGAGTTTAAGATCCTGAAAAAGGCTTAGCAACCAAAGAATTAGTTAGCTAATTCATCAAAATCACCCCAATCCGTACCGTACTCTTGCTAAGAAAACTAAAACATAGTGGAGACTTTTGGTTATAAATGGAAGTTTAGAGAGCCGTGGAAGATACTGACATCATCAGCCTGAAGCCAACAAGACTGGCCAAACCATGTGAAGAAAATGTCTTCAACAATAGCTAAATTTGACAATACTGTGACCAACAATGTTGGAGGCCAGAAGAGAATAAGATCAAGAACCCAGACAGAGGTGTCTACATAAACTCTGGAACTGAAGGCTGTGGAAAGGATAAACTAGAGAAATAGCCATCAACAAATGGACAGCTGAATCAACAAAAAACAGTCAGTTGTTGATCAGCTGACTGAAGACAAATGGATATCAAGGTTTGCAGAGCGGTGAAAGAAAGATGTAAGCAATATGAATAAGGAGATCCATTTTAGGATTAAGCATTTATAATGAGTAGGATATAGTTTAGTACTAGAATCTTTTATCGCATGTGATGTATTTAATTATAAGTATCTTTGTAATAGTATTAATCTGACCGAGTGAGGTAGCATCATGCCATTTTGCATTTGATAGGTCTATCAGGCCGGTCATTCATGGGCGCCTGCAGGATTTGGAACAGGGGGGTGCAATATATATAACAAACAACTGGGGGGTCCGGGGCCTTCCCCGAGAGGATTTCTGAAAATATAGTGTTTTAAAACATATTTTAACGCTATTTGGTAACACATAGAACCAACCACCAACCGTATATATTGTGCATCTTAATAGAGTAAGTCATAATTCTTTATGCCAACATTAACAATTAATAAACTATTTGAAGTTAAGTTACAATGTGAAATTTATATGGTTAAATTCACAAGCCAAGCAATTAAAAATAAATAGTATATTTCGTACCTAAGGCCGAAAATAAAGTTTTGCCGGCTTGAGATTTCAAGAACTTAAAACCATCGAGAGTTGCAAAACCATTTCGGTCCGTGGTACGAACGCTATTTTCACCACACTATACCGTACCCTATTACCACTATTCACCACAATACTAATGCACACTGATAGTCAACACAACTACAACTTTAAGGTTATAAGAATAAATAATTTGAGGAATCAGCAAAAATAATAATAAATAGTTGCTAAGCAGCGGTGACAATAAAACTATTTTATTGCCTTGCTATGGATACTAACTGTGTATTTAATATGCATTCATGTTTTAAGAAAGTAAGCGGCTTTTTCAGCTGATTTTAACAACAACATTAACTGATTTTTTTTTTGTAAGGCAAAGTCAGCTGATTTTGCGGCCCTAGGGATGTAAAAACCTGCTCGGTCCCCAAATGACAATGACAGCTGGCATGGCCAGCAAAACGTAACTTTCAGCCACCAATTAACGTATGTAAAAAAGCTAAAAAAATCATAGTGTGGTCTGTGGTGAAAAAGAAATTTACTTCCCATGTAGCACAGATGGTTGGGCCAACGTTGGTAAATTGTGTAGCCACACAGTTGGCCAACGGTAGAAATGTCACCTCTTTAAACTGTTTTCCAGCCAACCTTTGTCCAACAATGGCCCAACCAAAATTATTTCACACAAAATAATAAAGATTTAGTACGAAAAGCATAATTATTAGTTGAGTAAATTGATTAAATAGTTCATAAAAACAAATTTTGAAAAAAAGCTGGAACAAAATTTTTTGGCCCAGACGGGTCTTGAACCCGGGTCCTTCGACTTATGAGCCTCTTACCTTACCACTGAGCTATCTGTGATTGTTAATACAGAGAGTTTTCAAGTGGTGAAAGAGTAGCCGACAGTTGCAATGGTCACAATACTTCAAACATTTTTGATACTACACAGTATAATATGATTCTGTTAATCTGTTAAGGCATCATAAGTAGTTTTTTTTTTTTTTTTGAGTTAGAGAGGATACTGGTATTTGAATATAGATTAATTAATTACCGTTAGATTATTAATGCTATTATAATTTACTGTTATATGATTAATTACTCTTTCCCCTTAAATTGTTGCAAATAAGTTAAAGAATAGTAATTTAAAAAATATTTGCATTATTATAATTATTAAAATTCATTGTTGTAGCCCCGGAACTGTAATATATAAAATATCTGGTTTTACAATACCTTTATCAGTTTCAAAAACTTTTGGAAACTTTTGGAACTGATAAAGGTATTGTAAAACCAGATATTTTATTATAATTATGTTGTGAAAGCTAGACCCAGAGAATGAAAGTCGTGTAAACTCAACTATGGACCATTGTTGGTCCAACAAAAGTATCTTTTGTTGGTCCAACGGAGTGAAAAACGGTTGGACAACGGTTGGCTTGATGTATGATACCCAACAATGCATATTAATGTATTTCATTAACAATGAACCGATGTTGGTCCACAGTTGTAAATATTGGTTGGCCCAACTACGAGATATACAGTTGGACAGCGGTTGGTTGGTTGTGGAAGCTCCAACCAACCATCGACCAACTGTCCCACAGTTGGCCAACGTTGGCCCAACCATCTGTGCTACATGGGTTAAGTATAAGAATGGTACATCTGTGAGTCAAGTACTTATTTGATTTAAAACTTTTTTTCAGAAATTACCATTATGAAACGTACTTTGATAAATTTCTAGAATTCCCTTTTGATTAATAAAAGTGATTACAGAACATTTAGGGTATTAAATTGATTTATTTTTTTAGCCAGGGGTGTGCAAGTGCGACCCTTTGCCTTGTGGGTTAAGGTAAATGCCGGAATGGTTCTCTCAAGGGCCGTACCCTGCCAGGCAGAATATAGGACTCTGTCTTAATTTTGATTGGTTTACAAAAACCCAAGTAATTATGATCATTTAAATAAATAAATGCATTATTATATAGCTATTCTTGTTTTAGTTATATATTTAGAAGTACAATTTTATTTCATTAAAAAACAAAAAATATGACTAAATATAAATTTCAAAATTGGTTTGTTGACAGTGAAATGACTGGGCCGTAATTCTGTGCAAAATTTTCATCCATTATCCAATCTTCCATTTGTTTTCAGTCTAAAATAAATAATTTCTATATGATTGATTAATTTCCTAAACACTATTTTTCAACTCACTCAAAAATAAACTGTCAGATGCACAGTGGTGGTACATAAGTAATGTAATGTTGGAATTTATTTATAATCTTGTTCCTCATTGCCTTCTTGGTACTAAGTTAGAAGCAGCTGTCATGTGTTAATTATATGCCATGTGATTGCTATGTTTATTAATTTGTTGTAAATAAACATCACTTCCACTATGGACTTAAGAAACCATAACTGTGTAGTCATTTTACTCCTATTATTATAAAGGAAAATCAATTATAAACAAGTGGTTATGGGCCCAGTTTCACTTTTACTGTAACATGTTCTCTGTGGCCTATTTTGAACAGTTTAATTTTTGAAGAGAAGTGTTTAAGAAATATTATAGTAAATTTCATTGGATGAACACTTATTAATTACTATGATGGGAGACAAAGTTATATACTCCACATCAGCCCCTGGAATTTCTAAGTTGAAAGGGTCAGCCAACTTTGCCAGTTGGAAATTTGACATGAAGATGGCTCTAAAGTATGAGGGATTGTGGAATTGCATTGAACCACGAAGGACTACTACAGAGACGACACCGCTAACTGTGGATCCAGACAAAGATGAGAGGGCACTCGCCAAGATTGCCATGCACCTGGAGGCAGCTCCAAAACTACATATCAGGACGGCCACATCAGCGAGGGAAGCATGGGACATTTTAGCAAAGCAGTATGAAGTCAAGAGCACAAACAGGAGAATATTTCTGCTGCACCAGCTTTTAGATTTGAAGTTGGAAGTATGCAACAGCATGAGTGAGTATATTTCTAAATTTCTTGACCTCAATGCTCAACTTGCTGACAGAGAAACCCGTAGACGATGAAATGAAGGCGTGTCTACTTCTAAGAGGTTTGCCTGAGTCTTACAGGGCATTTAGGATGGCAGTCGAGAGTACAGATAAAGTAGAATATAGTAAAGTACTAGAAAAACTAAATAGCATGGCTGAAAAGGATACCACTGAGTCCTCTGTAGTATTTTCAACTTTTAAAAGCAGTACTGGGAAGCCTTTTCTATCAAAATCAAATACTAATCAAGCTTATTCTAATAAAAGCTCAAAGACGAGGAAGCCTTTTATTCCTACTTGTTACAAATGTAGAAAGGCAGGCCATATGATAAGGGATTGTCCTGAAAATAATCAAGCTAACATTAGTAATAGCTCAAACATTAGTAATAGGTCAATTTCCAAAATTGGTAAGTCAGATGGTCAAAACAAAAATAAAAATGTAAGTTGGATAACTGATCTGAATGTAAAGGTAGAACCTGAAAGCTGGTACTTAGACTCGTGTTGTTCTGACAATCTTTCTAAAAGTAAAGAAAGTTTTCAAACGTTTAACTCGAATGAGGGAGTTAAAGAGGTCACTGTCGCTAACAATACCAAAATTTACTCTGCGGGTTCTGGGAAAGTTTCTGTGAACCTTAAAAACTTTGGTGAGAGAGTGATATCGAATGTGACGTATGTACCAGATTTATCTACAAATTTGCTATCTGTGAGCAAAATAGCTAGTAAAGGGCAAGTTTTAGTTTTTGATGACAAAGGGTGTAATATTTACATAAAAGATGGGTTTTCAGTAAGAGGTGAAATCTGTGGAACTGGAACAAATGTAAACGGACTGTATCGGTTGGATACAGAGAGTAAATGCAACATTGATCCAAATTATGACAATTTGGCTATGTCTACTCAAGTTGACCAGTCAGTTAGTGTGGACCTTCATAATTTATGGCACAGAAGGTTGGGTCACTTGAATCATGTTAGCATGGGTATTTTGAAAAAGGGGATGGCTTTGGGTATAGATTTTCCTAATCAGAGGCCAGAATCTTGCATTCCCTGTGTAGAGGGGAAACACTCCAGAGAATCTTTCCCAACCACTCCAAGTAAGAGAGCTGAGGCAAAACTAGAGTTAATCCATATGGATGTCTGTGGGCCTATGAATGTTCAGTCTCTTCAAGGTAATCGCTTCATGCTAATATTTATTGATGACTTCACCAGAATGACCTTTGGTTATTTCTTGAAATCAAAGGATGAAGTAGTTGATTGTTTTCTCAAGTTTAAGACTTTAGTTGAAAATCAGACCAGCAAGACTGTAAAAACTGTTAGGTCAGATGAAGGCGGGGATTACATGAATGCGAGACTAGAAGAAGTGTGTAATAGATTTGGAATAAGGCACCAGGTTACTACTCGATATAGTCCTGAGCAGAATGGGGTAGCAGAGCGTGCAAATAGAACTATTATTGAAAAAGCTAGAAGCATGCTAAGTGACTCAAATTTGAGCAAGGGTTACTGGCAGTATGCTGTGGAGGCAGCTATTTATCTTAAGAACCGAAGTCCTACAAAAGCTGTTTTCGGAGTCACTCCAAAGGAGAAATGGACTGGATCGAAAGTGGACCTCAGTCACCTTAGAGTTTTTGGGTGCATAGGCAATGTACATGTGCCTAAGGAGAGAAGGACCAAATTGGACTATAAGAGTGTTCCTCACATTTTTGTAGGTTACAGTGAG